CCCTCCAGGAGGGCTCTTTGAGAAGTGACTGTGTTATAAATATCTCACAGGTGGGTGTCAGAGGACGGTGCCAGACTCTGTTCAGTGTGGCCAATGACAGGATGAAGAGCAATGGCCATACACTACAACACAAGAAGCTCCACCTCAACACAAGGAAAAACTTCTTTCCATGGAGGTGGCAGAGCCCTGGAATAGCTGCCCAGGGAGGGTGTGGAGTCTCCCTCTCTGGAGACATCCCAAACCCACCTAGATGCATTCCTGTGTCACCTGCTCCAGGTGACCCTGCCTTGGCAAGGGGGTTGGACTGGATGATCTCCAGAGGTCCCTTCCAACCATAACAGTTCTGGAATTCTGTGATTATGGAATGGCTCTTTGTTTAGCACGGAATAACCCGTATCCAATCAGGGCCTGCTTGCTGGAGAAGCTGTTAATTGCCTCCTGTGGTCTTCTGTCAGCAACATTATCCCCTCCTGCCCTGCTGAGACTGGGATGAGGGATTGTCCTGCTCTGTGGCTGCAGTGGGATACGGAGAAGGGGAGGGTGAAACATAATCTGAGAAATAATATCTACGGCAGCAAGCGATGCTAATCAAAAAATCGTGAGGGAAGCAGGATTCCAAGGAGGGAGGAATGCTGGGGGAGGAAAAGCATGGACATCTCTTGACGAAGGTCCAGGATCAGTTTGAAAGGGCCCAAGAAATTCTAATTTAACATCTATTTTTAATACAAGCCCCGTGTGTGAGGAGAGCACCGCCCGCCGCGCCGCGATCTCGTTACTGCCCAGATTAGCAACAAAAAGATTAATTTAGACAGGATGGAATAATTTTGAACAAAAGTGTCACTGCCTTCTGAGGAGCAAGGCTGACCCGAAAAGATCACGTACAGGGAAACCCCACACCACAGGCAATCCCTCCTGGAGAGGAGTCCCCCAGCTGGAAACACAACAGTTTGGGCTCATTTCAGCACAGCTGGGGTGGCACCACTGATGTCAGATGACTGTAATATGTCTCTTTAATTGATCATAAATACACGTATTTCACTACAGCTGACAATAAAATCTGTGGAGACAGCCCTCAGAAGCTTCCCACTTGCCTGTCCTTTGTTTTCCTGGCTTACATTTTAATTCCTCCAAGTCATACAGAAATAAAGGCTCGTGCTCATTCTCTGTCCCTTTTTCAAGAGCTGCATACCCCCTGACAAGCCCCAGCCCGCCCCAGGGCTGGGCCACGCAGAAGATGACGAGCTATTGTAGCTGGAATCTCCATGGTTCTCCTCCTCCTTGAGGTCAGCCCTGCAGGGAGAGGCAAAGCTCCCCTCACACTGCTGGATATCCAGGCATGGCCCCTCTGGGGCCTCCAAATTAAAGGCTGATGGCAGAGCTGAGAAGGCACAACAACATTTGGGTTGCACTGAGGCAACTTGCCCAATTATTAACATTTTTGTGTTCTTTTCTTTGCCAGAGAAAATGAGCTTTTACTGGCACGGAAAATCACCTCCTCCAAACACAACCGAGTCATCTCTCCAAGTTGCTATCAACATTTCTGCAGAGCATCCTGCTCCAAAGGAGCCAAATCCAGGTGGGATCCTATAACCACAGTCCCCTCCCAGTCCCACCAGCCCTTTGACACAAAGAAATTCATCCTGCCCAGGGGCCTCCCCAGAAATCCCTCCATCCTTTCCAAAACAGAGCAGCTGCTTAGCACTGGCTCAGCACAGCAGGTCAGAAGATGATGAATTCTGTATTCACTTGAGAATTTTTAGGGAAACACAAGCCCAGCTGTGCAAGCTGGAAGAGGGTGGAGACATGTAGTCCAACGCTGCACTGAACAAGCCTTCTAAACCATGGGGACTTGGCTACAAACTGCCCCCAAGGCAGTGACCTCTGGTAGGAGAGACTTCCTTGATCTCACATGGAGAATTCTCCCCCACTGTTCCTGCTGCTGGGAAGCAGTGAATGAGTTCCTTGTTTTACTTTGTTTGAGTGCAGGGTTTCTGCTTTACTTATTAAACTGATTTATCTCAACACACAAGTTATCTCACTTTTACTGTTCTGATTCTCCCCCCATCCCACTGCAGGGGAGGGAGAGAGGGAGTGAGCGAGTGTGGGGTTGAGCTGCCAGCTGGGGTTAAATCAGGACACTCACTTGGAAGCAGGAGGGATCCCTGACCACCAGCCCAGCTCAACAGCTCCGAGCTGACCAGGCTGAAGGAGCAGATCCCAGCGTGAGCTGGGCTGGGATCACTGCAGCCCTCCTGCATGACCATAGAAGGTAAAACCGAGCTCTGGCAGGCCTGAGGCCAACAACACACTTAAGGCATAAATGTTCTGATGTTTCATGCAACTCCATCAAAAATCTTAGAAAAGCTTATTTTTGGCTGAGTCAGGTGTCAGTGAAAGGAGTGCCAACTGCAGTGCTCCTCTGCCAAGGCAGGAGGGGACAGACTGCCAGGGACGCCCACGGGGTGCAGAGCGGAGGATTCGCCAGAGGCTCAGTCTCACAAACAGGATCCACCACAACCAGCCTGATTTTATCCTTTCCCCTCTTCCCCCACAACCCACATTTGTGGGAAGACAGCAGGAAGGGTGTCACTGGTGCTTCACAGATGTCTACACACCCAAAAGGGCTCTGTCTCTGCTGTAGGCAGTGCCCTACACCACTGTCTTGGAAGGTGAAAAGCATTTTGGGGCTGGCTCTCTGAAGTCTCCATCTGCCCCAGCTCTGTCACAGCGTGTTCCCTGCCCATTCCAGCAGAGTAACCTCCATCCCAGGAGGCTGCTGCTCCAGCTCCATGTAGTTCAGCAGGGTTGCACCACCACAACAGGCTCCAGGACAGAGCATCGGCTCTTGAAAAAATACCTCTGGCACCACAGAATTCCCTTTTCCCTCTAACGAGGCCTCTGTTTTCTTGGGAAAGCATGGAGAGCTCAGACAGAGGGCAGCAGTGCGGGCCCATGGCCAGAGCAGTGCCCCGGGCTGCAGCCACTGTCTCCTCTGGTCTCAGCACTGCAGGGGCTTGGCTGAGCTCGGACAAGGCCTCTCTCCTCAGCCGTCCTGTTTCACAGAATATCAGAACCAGCTGGGTTGGAGAAGATCTCTGAGATCATGGAGTCCAACCTTTGACCAAACAACCACTGTGTCAACTAGACCAGAGCACTGAGAGCCACATCCATCTTAAACACCTCCAGGGGCAGTGACTCCACCACCTCCCTGGGCAGCCTGTTCCAACATCCAATCACCCTTCTTGTGAATAAATTCTTCCTAATGTCCAACATAAACCTCCCGTGGCACATAATTTGTGATTATTTAGACCAGCAATGGTCTCCAATTTAGGGGCAGAAGCAGCCTATGAAATGGTTAAACACAACTAAGGTGGAGAAGCACAAGTGGAGTCCTTTGGGGCATCAGCCATGTCTGGGTTGTTTTCCCCTCACCACCCCCAGACACTCCAGGTCTCCTCACCATCACAGCTCCACTGCTGTCTGTGCATGACCCAAGGACACACAGTGACACTGTGACACGCACAGTGACACCGGATCTCCCAGGTTATCAGAGTCCAGTGTGCTGGGAGAGCCACATCTCCTGTCAACTCCCACGCACACACCAGCTGCTCCTGCCTGTGACTGACAGGGTTTGTTGTGCTCACAAATCTCCATAAGGCCTCTGCACGGCTTTTTAAGACTGTCAGGTCTTTCATGTTGGGAGGAGCCCTCAAGAAATCACCCTCACAAGCAGGTCTTGTGATCCTCACAAGCTCTTCAGCCACCCTCACAGCACTGCTGAGGACCATTCGACTGAGGAAACCACTTCCTTGGAGTTGTAAGGGAGCTGACAGCAAAAAGAGGAGGAGAATTGCTGTTCCTTGGTCTAACCAACCACCCTGCACAAGGAAGAGCCCTGTAGGTTGGCCCAACGCCCAAGCACCTTTGAATCTTCTCTTCTCTGTTTACAGTTCTCAAAGCATTTCATTTTGCTCTTAATACAAAGACCAGATCATCTTGTTGCAGGTGAAGAATGATAGGATGAATTATAGGATGCTTTTATAACGGCAGGATGTATTTCTAGAACATTTACAAGTCAATCTGTGAGTTCACAATTCAAAATAAATTGCCCTTGAGACACGTGGCAGGTGATGTGAGCCCAGCGCTGTGCCGGAAGGAGGTTTGCAGTGCTGTCACCCACACCTGTGTCCACAGGGAACAAGGACAAGCTGTTCCTGTGTGTCCTCAGCCTTGTTAACAAAAATGCCACCTGTCCTTCAGGCACTGACACCACGAGTGCCAGCGAGGCCTCATTCCGTGGGTAAGGGGACAGGGACAGCTCAGGGCATTAACAGCAACGCCTGACGTCCTTCCCCTCTTTTGCACGTTTGTGTTTCTTTGTTTCCTGTGCTGATCTCTGATTCCCTTTCCCTCCATGCCACAGGAATTGTGTTTGGCCTCTATTCCCACTGGCCCATGGGAGGCTCCTCTGAGGCACCTCTCACCTGTCTGCTGCCAGCAAAAGCAGGAATGGGGAACCAACAGCCCCACGGTGCCATTGCTGACCGTGAGGTCTCCAAGGCAGGATGAAACCTCCTGCCAGAGCACTGTGTTAGTCCCACATCCCTGCAGGTCAGTGGCTGAAGTTAACCCAAGTTACTGGGAATTCAGTAAGGGTTCAGGACCCACTACTGGAGAGGTTTTTTAAGGGACCTGTATTAGACACACTGAGAAATTCAGGAAACACGAAACACTCGGGAATGAGCAACAAAGCTGAGCAACAGGTATGGAGAAATAAAGCAGTAAATCCTGCTCCCTCCAGGCAAACTCTCTTTTGCCACTGCTGCTGGGCTTTAAAAACAGTGACAGGGATGACTTCCAGAAGATAACCGAGCCTGCTGCATCCCAGTTATCTGGGACAGGCAAAAAGGCTTCTGGGCAGGGGGAAAGCCAGCAAGGAAGGGACCAGGAAATGGTCTCCTGGAGGAGTGTGTGAGATCTCCCTCCCATCACTACACAGGAAATGCACATGCAGCTCCCCCTCCCATCCAAGGAATCGGAAACCAGTCTCTTGGAAAAGGGACTTGAACTGAAATGCAACGTTCAAGCTCATCTTGTGCTGGTTGGGTCTGTTTTTAAGGCACTTACCGAAAAAACCTGATCCCTGCACGTGGTCTTTTAGCTGCCTGGGCCATTCCTTTGCCTCCTCCAAGGGCATTTTCCAGTGTCTTGTCACCAGTTCAGCTGCTTCCTCCAGGTGTCAATCCAGCCTCCTCCAGCCCCCCAAGGAGCAGTGGGATGTACCTTTGGGCTGAAAGAGAACACAGAAAAACAGACTGCTGTCACAACAGGCATGTCAGAGGAGATAAAAATACCTCCTCACCAGTCTGGTGAAAGTCAGTAACAGAAAATCCCTGTGGTCATGTGGCTTTTAAACCTGCACAAACTCAGCCCTGTCCCAGCACTGACTGCCTGGCCAGGCCCAGGCCTCTGCTCTGCAGGGACATCTCTGAGTTAACACCAAAGAGCTTCTTCCGCTCGGCAACGCTGGAGTAGGAGGAAGGAATTAGAGGTCCTTTGTGCATCTAATACCCAGGATTATTCTCATGGAATATTTCCTTGGATCAGTTCAGCTGACTTGGGCCACAGTCCCGTACGGGCTCCAGTGAGTGGGGAGGGAATGCAGCCGTGGCAGGGCTAGGATTTTACACATTACAGCAATGGGCTGAGAAAACTATTTACACCATTATTTACAAGAGCATGCAGTGACAGGACAAGGGGGAATGGTTTCCCACTGCCAGAGGGCAGGGTTAGATGGGATATTGGGGAGAAATTCTTCCCTGTGAGGGTGAGGAGGCCCTGGCACAGGTTGCCCAGAGAAGCTGTGGATGGATCCCTGGAAGTGTCCAAGGCCAGGCTGGACGGGGCTTGGAGCAACCTGGGATAGTGGAAGGTGTCCCTGCCTGTGGCAGGGGTAGAATGGGATGAGCTTTAAGGTCCCTTCCAACCCAAACCATTTTGGGATTCTGTGAAAACACTTTTACATTGGCAATTCCCATACTGGGTGCATGGAGCAGTTTTAAAGCCTGGCAGTCTCCACAGCAAGTACATTCTACAAACCCTAAAACGAGCAGTCTCAATTATTTACTCATTTATAAAGTTAAAACTATCAGACAGACAGAACCATCTCTCAGACAGACATTCCCCTCTGACTGCCATGTATTTTTGGCTGAAGGTATCTCTCCAACTCTCTAACAGGAGGGGGGAGCCGGGGGAGGTCGGGCTCTCTTCCCAGGGAACAAGGGACAGGAGGAGAGAAAACAGCCTCAAGCTGCAACAGGGGAGGTTCGAGTTGGACATCAGGGGGAATTTCTTCCTGGAAAGGGTTGTTAAACTTATGAAGGGGCTGCCCAGGAAGGTGGTGGAGTCACCACCCCTGGAAGTGTCCAAGGAATGACTGGACGTGGCACTCAGTGCTCTGGGATGTTTGACAAGGTGGTGACTGGTCACAGGTTGGACTCGATGAAATTGGAGGTCTTTTCCAACCAATTGATTCTCTTTCTACAGATTAAACAAGAAGTTTGGGTCCCTTTTTCTATCAGTGGGGGTTTTTACCTGAAAAAGAATTAGATCCTGACTTTATCCAGCGTCACAGACCAGGTAAATCTGCACCAGGTAAACCAGCAAAATGCCAGAGAATCACTTCGACCCCTCCAGCTGCAGAGCGGAGCCTCCCAGGGAGCTGCCATGGGAGCAGGTCCAAAGAAGAGGGTATTTGCACACCTGAAAGGTGCAGACAGAGAAAATGGGGTAGAACTGAGATAATTCTAGAGCCAGATCTCTCAGGAATGTTCTCTTTGGGCAAACACAAGACCCCATGGCCTTGGAAAGGCCCAGTATATCTTTTGGAACAAGGACAGGACAAAATGAGTCACTGGTCTCTAATACAAGAGCTTAATGGCAGGACTGCAGCCTTTGAGCCTGGAGGATCACCAATATCATCTGTAAGCGTAGATCGGCCAAAAACATAACCAAGGGCACCACTGCAGCCTGGGATCTCCCCTCTGATGGGCACAGCAGCACCACTGGTGTGAGGGGAGAGCAGCGGCTGAGGGGGAACGGGGCGTGAGGGGAGAATGGGGTGAGGGGGAATGGGGCTGTGAAGGGGGAATGGGGCTGTGATGGGAGAGCTCGAGCATGTGAGGGGAAATGGGGCTGTGACTGGAAATGGGGCTGTGAAGGGGGAATGGGGCTGTGAGGGGAGAGCGGGGTGTGAGGGGAGAGCACGAGGCTGTGAGGGGGGAATGGGGCTATGAGGGGAGAACGGAGCTGAGAGGGGAGAACGGGATGTGAGGGGGAATGGGGCTGTGAAGGGGGAATGGGGCTGTGAAGGGGGAATGGGGCTGTGATGGGAGAGCTCGAGCATGTGAAGGAAAATGGGGCTGCGAGGGAAAATGGAGCTACGAGGAGAGCGGGTGTGAGGGGAGAGCCCGAGGCTGTGAGGGGAGAGCGGGGCCGTGACGACAGCGGAGCTGTGAGAGGGGAACGGGGCTGTGAGAGGGAAACAGGGATGTGAGGGGGAAATAGGGGTGTGAGGGGAGAGCCCGAGGCTGTGAAGGAAAATGGGGCTTTGAGGGCAGAGCGGGGCTGTCCCGCAGCTCAAACCCAGGACGGGGCGGCCCAGCCCCACGACGGGAGCCCAGCGGGAGCTGCCGCGCCACGTCCGCCGAACACCGCCCGGCCACGGCAATGCCGCCCCGGCAACCCCCTGAGCGGGACCATCCCGCACCCTGCCGCTCCCCCGTCCCCTCAGCTCTGCGGGGCGCGAAGGAGAGGCGCACCCTCCCTCAACACCCGGCCCGCTCCTCTGCCTTCCTATTGGCCACGGGTGCTGCCTGTCACGGACCGTCACGCGCGGCAGCCAATGGGCTCTCAGGGAGCGGGGCGGGGGCGGGGCTCGCAGGGCGGGGCCGGGGGCTGTGGCGGCGGCGCGGGCCCGTGTGAGGGGCAGGTAGGGCGGGGGGGCCGCGGGGCCGCGCTGGGGCGGGCTGAGGGGGTAGCGGCCCCTCACGGCCCCGCTCCGCTTCACCCCCCGGGGCTGCGGGGCAGCTCGGGCAGGGGGGCGGCCTGGATCACCGCAGGCATCCCGGGAGGCCGGGCTGTGGGAGTCCCTGGAGGGCTGAGCATCCGCGGGCCTTCGGCGGGAACTGAGGGGAACCCGGTCGGTGTCGAGGGTGGTTCGAGCACAGATGGTGCAAAAGGGGGTCGGATCCATCGCAGTCTTAGAAGGGCTCCGGGTGATTTTCACAGAATCATCTCAGAGTGGTTCGGGTTGGGAGGGACCCTAAAACTCATCCAGTGCCACCCCCTGCCCTGGGCAGGGACACCTTCCATTAACCAAGTTGCTCCAAGCCCCGTCCAACCTGGCCCTGGACACTCCCAGGGATGAGGCTGTTCAGGGTGAGAAGGTTACTGGGAGAAGGGGCACGGGCTGGGTGTGTGCGAGCATCACTCTAGGGGTTCATTCCTGGGGGCTGCCACGCTCAGTTACAGCCCCAGGACCTTCACCTTAACCACCCATCTCCTTTTGGGCAGATCCTTTTGGACAGAGGGCTGCTGTGGGCTGGGCTGATCGTCTGGAACACAGTAGCTCTAAGGCACGTGTGCATGTGCCCCTTTGCTGTCACAGTCAGAAAGAACCACAGATAAATTATCCTTTGTGTGGCTGCGGGTGTTTTACAGTTCATGGTGGGTGGACTCTGTCCAGGTGCCATTCTGAGTTTTTATTTAGGGTAGAAGAGATCATGTGTTTTCCCCTGCTTTTGTTAAAATGGCATTTATGAGTTGACCAGATGTTCTGAATTCAATTGAGAGGCTAAAACTCAATTCCAGGCACCCGCCCCACTGTTGAGTTAAAAATTCAAACCAAAGTGCAAACCCACGTACAATGGGGGACGTGCAGCTCAGCTCAGTCCTGTTCCCCAGATTTGTGATGAGGACCTGAAACCCTGACGTGCAGGGGAGTCTGCCAGGAAAGGACCGCTGTTTGAGGAGATTGTTGAAACTCTGGTGCAAAGGGTTAATAAATCCTGGGCTGAGGAGATAGGACTGGAATGCATTTTGGTGGGTTTTGGCAGGCCAGCTTGTTAGAAGTGGCTGGTGTTTTGTTTAGATAAAGAAGAAAGGAACTTGGTGTTGGTATTCCATTATGTGAGTTTATAGTGTTGTTAAAGATAAAGCAAAGAATATTGCAGTAATATAAATCCCAATGGAATCAACATCAGGTGATGGAGTAGAAGTACCCGGAGTGAGCTGTGGGATTAACGTGGAGCTGATTACTGAAGGTGTAAATTCCTTTTCCTGAGTAAAGCTCTGCTGAAGTGGCTTTTCTGAGCTGTCCCAAGGTCCCCAAGACCTGCTCCTCCTTTTCTGCCCCTGAGGGTGAACACCAGCCTGATCAAGGCCAGCTTGGCCTTGTGCAGAGAAATTAATATTCTTATGGACTTGTGCAAACACACGTCTCTGGAACAGCTTTATCCTTGCACATGGGGGCTGGAATGAGATGATCCTTAGGGTCCTTTCCAACCCAAACCATTCTGGGTTCTGTGATTAATGAATTTATCAAGCAGCCAGCTTGGAATAATTGTAAAATCGGGATTTTACTGACCAGGTATCTTGGGCTAAAGGAGGTTTAAGAATCAGTTTGGAATACTTAGGAATATTCCACCCCTTTCCCGTGGCTCATGGCTCATGATAGGCAAGTACACGGGTTCCTTCAGCAGGAAAACTTTTGAGTATCAGAAGATGAGTGATTTAACTTTTATGACACAAAAGTTTATTTAACTTTATGACAGCAGTGAGGCCCCAGTGTGCTGCAAGGTCACTCTTGCTCTGTGGTTTTCCTAGTTCTGTATCTTTAGGTCACTCTTGCTCTGTGGTTTTCCTGGTTCTGTATTTTTTACTGAGCACAACTGTCAGCAGCAAAATACCTGTTGCAGGGCTCCACAGCAGTAAGAGAGGAACAGGAGGTTTTGTGCAAGTCAAATTGTGAGGAAATCAGGGATGTTTTTGCGGGGCTGGGGTAGTTTGGATGTGTGTTTGTAGGGGGTGTGGAAGCTCTTCAGATAGGAGTGTTTTTTGGGATCTGTGTAAAGTGTTCCCAGGAGTTTCTGGCTGGCATCAGCTGTGATTCAGGGATAAAATCCTCCTTCCTGGGCAACACTGAGGCGAGTGGGCCAAAAAAAGAGCTCTGACTCTTTGTGGCTGCGTTCAGATGAGATCCTCCATCCTGGATGTGAGTTTTTGTTCCCTCAGGCTCCCACGATGTTTGCCCAGTGCTCCCGGAATTCCGTGAGCCCCGTGGTGCTGCTGGTGCTGCTGGGCTGCCTCCTGTGCCCCCCAGCACAGGCCAGCAAGGTGGGTGACAGCGTCGGGCACCGTGGGAGGGGCACAGCAGAGCCAGAATGGCAGAGGAGCAGCTGGGGATGTTTGCAAAGATAAGGAATGGATTTGTGGTGTGTTTACTGTGTAGGGCTGGGACTGTGTGTGACAGTGGCCCCTGCCCTGCCTTCTGCTGGGCTTTGGAGTTCGCATTTTAAAATGTGTTTGAAAAGCACCTGGCTGGAGGTGCTGGAAGTGGCTGAGGTGCTCTGGGACATGTTAAACCTGGGAAGGTACTGATGTCAAAGTGCAGGAAGAAGGGAAGTGGGGGGAGGTGTTCTCTGGGGTGGAGTGTTCTCTGTCCGAGAGGACGTTCAGCCTGTCCCCAGCCCGGGGTGGTGAGGGTGGCAGAACTGGGGGTTCCCTCCCTCACTGGCTCCTCTGCCCCCGCAGAGCTCCGAGGACATTCGCTGCAAGTGCATCTGCCCCCCGTACCGGAACATCAGCGGGCACATCTACAACAAGAATGTGTCCCAGAAGGACTGGTGAGTTGGGCTGGAAGCCTGAGGGCTCAGTCCATGAGAGCCACCAACGCTGCAGAGTTGGCAGCTGGTGCCAACCCTGCCTTTGTGTTTGCAGAGGGAGCTGTGGTAGGTGATGTTCAGCCCAGGCCAGGGGCGGTTTTTAAACAGAAATTGAGGAATCTGGGATGATTTCTTAACCCATGGCTCTTGGCAGGTGTCAAGTGTACCCTGCAGTCCCCCTCACCTGGACTGGATCCCTGCAAAAGGCACTTGGACAGTCTGTCCCAGGACTAGCTGAGCTGTGAGGGGAGCTCCTAAAACCGGACCGGCATTATCAGCCTGCAGGGAAAGCTGGGACACACAAAAGTGTCACCCCAATGTCCTTCCACAGAGCACTGGTTTCACCTTCACCTTGTCCTGCTGCTGACCTTGGTTTGTTTGTGCTGCAGCAACTGCCTGCACGTGGTGGAGCCCATGCCAGTGCCCGGGAACGACGTGGAGGCCTATTGCCTGCTCTGCGAGTGCAAGTACGAGGAGCGCAGCACCACCACCATCAAGGTAAGGGCAGCTCTGTCCCCGGGCCTGGCTCCTTCTCCTGGCCAGGCCGTGCCAGCCCAGGCACTGCTGCACTGCTGGGTTCCTGCAGAAGAGCCCAGAAGGAGAAAACCCAACTGTCACAGCGGGTACACTGTGGCAGTGCCAGGAGCTCACTCTCTACAACTCCCTGGAAGGAGGCTGGAGCCAGGTGGGGATTGGACTCTGCACCCAGACAACCAGTGACAGGACGAGAGGACACAGTCTTAAGCTGCACCGGGGAGATTTAGGTTGGACATTAGGAAGAAATTCTTCACAGAAAGGGTGATTACATATTAGAAGAGGCTGCCCAGGGAGGCAGTGGAGTCACTGTCCTTGGAGGTGTCCAAGGAATGACTGGACGTGGCACTTGGTGCTCTGGGCTGGGTGACAAGGTGGGGATCGGTCACAGGTTGGACTTGATGATCTCAGAGGTCTTTTCTCACCTAACTGATTCTGTGATTTCTGTGTCTGAGTCAAGAATGCTCCTGGCTGTGAGGAGCTGCAAGAAGAGTCTTCTTGCTGGGGATGTGTGACAGTGCCAAGCACCTCTGAGCAGGAACCCATCTCTTGGTGTCCTCTCACGTGCAGCACGTGGCCTGAGCTGGCACGGTGAGGAGGGTCAGCACAGCCTGTGCAGTGACAGCATATCATCAGCCCCTGGCACGGGCAGGAGACCTTGTGAGCAAAATGAGAATGAGAGAAGAGATCAAACACCAGAGGCAGCTGCAAAGGACCTTGTGACCTCTGTGGTGCTTCTTCCCCACGGTGCTGATCCTTTCCCACGTGCTCCTCTCCAGGTGATCATCATCATCTACCTGTCGGTGGTGGGGGCCCTGCTGCTGTACATGGCCTTCCTGGTGCTCGTGGACCCCCTGATCCGCAAGCCCGACCCCTACACCCACCCCCTGCACAACGAGGAGGAGAGCGAGGTGAGGCTGCGGGGGCACCGGGGGGGCTCTGCTAGTGGGGCAGACAGGGTGACAGGAGAGTGGGTGACAGGGAAACAGTGACCTCCTGTCTCCTCTGAGCCAGGGAGGGACCAGCACTGCTGCTCTGGGGGCACCCACACAGGGGAACACTTCGATCAGATCTGTGCAAGTCCTGCGGAAGCACAGGGAATAATCAAAGTTCTAACCTTAAAAGGTCTCAAAGTTCTACCCCTAACCCTGACCCTGTCCTCTGTGGCAGGGGGTGACGTTGTCCCAAGTGGCCTGAATTTGGTCTGTCTGTCCAGATGGAACCAAAACTCAAACGGATCCTATTTGTGCAGTGTCCCAGGTGGAGTCACTTGGTGCTGAGCTTCCAGGGAAGGATGGGCTTAAGTAGTTGCTGGAACATCTTATAGACACGTCAAATAGCAGCCTCGAGGGGCTGTTTGACCCTGCTCTGGGGCTGGGCCCTGTTGTAGCCAGGCTGTTGGTCCTTGTGTTTCTCCCCAGAGCAGAATTTCATTCAAATCCTATCTTTCTGGGGGACATTGGCATACAAAGCTTGGTCAGAAAGATCAGGATCTAGCAGCAAAGAGAGAGTCTCTCTGTCTCTCACATACACACATTTTGGGGGAGGACAAATTTCTTGCTGCACAAAATTCCTGCAATTTTAGCACTGGATCAGACTGTCCTGTTTGTATTTTAAGTATAAACTATTTGGCTCAATTCTTTCATACTGTGATATAAGTGAGGAGTAGCTGCTCCAGTGTGCCCAGTCCCTCCATTACCACCCTCTGCTGAAAAAGGAGGTCCTGCAGGAGGAGGTGAACTGTATCCTAGAATTGTGGGTTCGCTCCCTGCACCACAGCAATGATCCAGAGTTAGATCCGGGTGCACTCTGTCAATGCCTGGTGTTAGGTGAGGTTTATCTTAGTCCAGTGTGCTGGATTCATCCAGGTGCACTCTGTCAATGCCTGGTGTTAGGTGAGGTTTATCTTAGTGCTGGGTTCTGGGACAGGCCTTGGTGCTCGTGTGCCACGACAGATGCCCATCCACAGCAGCAGTCTGGCTCTGTTTCAGGGGGTTGCTGTGGTTCACTGTGGCTCCTTGCAGACTCCAAGCAGTGGGTTTCCAGCAGAGCTTTAGACTTGGTGCAGTTCCTGTCCTGGGGGCTTTTATTTGGGTGGTCCCCACGAGAGAGGAGTTGGAGGGCTGGTGTTGAGGAGCTCTGGAAAGGTGGTTCTTCCTCAGGACAACTCAAGCCTTGAGTTGCTCCTTCAGTTGTGGTTTCTCCCGGGCTGGGCACTCCCAGATTCCCACACTGCTCCCTTCCCTTGCAGGACACTCGCTCCTTGGCCGCAGTGCCCACCCCAGCAGGAGCCAGAGCCAACACGATGCTGGAGCGCGTGGAGGGGGCCCAGCAGCGCTGGAAGAGGCAGGTGCAGGAGCAGAGGAAGACGGTGTTTGACCGGCACAAGATGCTGAGTTAGATCCCTGTGGGCCCTCGGCATCGCTTCCCAGGACACGGGGCAGCTCCTGGAGCAGCCGCACAGGGATCACCGTCAGGACACCGCGGTGTGGGACCGAAAGCTCGAACCCTTCCCTGACTCACCGTCTCCATCAGCCCCAAATGCCTCCCCTGGTTCTGCCCCTGCCCTTCCCCTCTCAGAGCCCAGAGGCTCCTTCCCCTGCCCGGCTGATCCTGGGGCTGTGTGTGGAAGCCCCAGACTCCTGGGGCTCCATCAGCCCACCCCACATCAGACAGGGATCTCAGCACGGAGCGCTGGGAGCTGGCTGAGTCTTCTGCGGATAAAAACAGTGGGGTAATTTTGATGTGAGATAAATTATGTGATGCTCCTCTAGGATGAAGCAGTCACCTCCTCCTCCTCTTCCTCCGGCGTGCACTGATGTTAACTGGGCATTGTGGTGCACGTGTGCAGCACTGGGAGGAAGAGGAGGGGGTTCCTGCCAGCTGCTGCTTCCACTTATCCTGGTGTACATGGAGAGATTCCACACCCCAGTGAAGTCTGTCCAGGTTTACACCAGCACAACCAAGGCTGCAGCTTGTTTCTGTGCAGGTGAACATCACCAACCCAATTAGTACCTGCAGCAGGAAGAGTCCAGCAGGTAAAACCAGCTGATTTACATTTATATCTTTTCATTCTTTAGCAGTGGGTAAAAACCTCCTGGAGAGAAACCTTTCTGTTTATACCCATGCTGGTGACCCTTGGTGCTCTCCCAGTGAGGGCAGAGCATTTGTGTCCAAGAGAACCAGGGCAAAGGCTCTCCTGGAGCACTGGAAACACTTGTCTGGGCCTTGGGGCCCTGGGGAGGGGACACTTGTGCTACTCAAAGCACTCTGAGAGCTCTGGCCAGACTTGGGCTTGTGTGGAGGAAACCAAAGTGATTCTGTGATGTGCGCACTGAGAACATTTGGAACGTCAGGAGGTGCTGGAGTTCATCGTGTAGCATCTCTCTATTAAATGCAGACAAAGATCCACTACCTGGGTGGCTTTTTTTTTGGGAAAAAGTCCCCTCATGCCAGGTCTGGGGCTCTCCAGTGCCTTCCAGTGCCTGGCAGGTGAGTTGATGCCACTCAAGCCAGAGCTGTGGTTATGGCATTCAGGTGTTTGGGCACTGCAGGTGTGTCCCTGGGTTGGAAAAGACCCTCTGAGATCTTCCAGTCCAGTCTGGGACCATGATTATGACCCTGCCAGACAAACCCAAACAGAAGCTTCTGGGGGCCTGTGTGTTCCCCAGTTCCCCTCCAGCCCCTCACTGGGCTGAAAAGGACCCTGAGCTCCACGTTATCCTGAGGTCACATTTTCTTTGACCCGTCCTTGTTCCCTGGAGCTCCGTTCTGGACCTTTCTCCCCCCTGTAGAAACCCCATCTTGCCTGTCCTTTCCTCCAGGTGGGAATCCTGCATGGACACAGGGTGTGGTCCCTGGGAACTGATTTCTTTCCTCCCTCGAGGGGGGAACAAGCAGCTGGTGAGAGGCTGAGCCGGCACGATGGGTCCATCTGGTGGCCACCGCCCACCTCGGTCAGCACCGGGACCTGGCTGGTCACCAGTCAGGGGTTTGGGGAGCACCAGCCCCAGACCTTCCCCTGACCCCTCCCAGGAACAGCTCGGAAATGGGATAGGAGGGGAGGAAAAGAATGCAGTTAGCAATCAGGAGTTTGGGTGAGTTAGAAAACTTAGGGAAGGGACGATGTGGAGAGGCTGCAAAAACTGCCAATGCCTGATTAAATACTTGATTTGTTAATTAATTGATCAGCTTTGTCCTGTACATCATCCTCCCTGGGAGGAAATGTTTTCTACTGCCCAGCCTCTTCCCCTCCCTGTACCCGTGCCATTGCTCACTGGGGCATCCCCCAAGTGGGCACATCCTGGTGGGCCCTGCTCCTGGCCCCGTCCACATCCCACAGCAGTGCTTCCCATCCCTTGGCAGATGCCAGCAGGAGTCAATAATTTAATTCCTTATCAAAAAACGGGAATGAGAAAAATAAAGGACCTCTGGGAACAAAACCCAGCTGTGCCCTGACAGCCGTGCTCAGGTGCCCGCCGCGGTCCAGACGTCGATGCTCCGGATGATGAGCCACTCGCTCTGGCCCTGGGTTACCCGGATCCTCACACACTCCACGGGGCTGGGGACACCCCTCTCCAGCCCCCGCCGGTCCACAGTGCCCTTCTCAAAGGTTCCCACCGGGATGTAGGTGGAGCAGTCGCGGCCGTCGCGGCGGCGCCGCCGGCCCAGCTCCAGCACCCCCGCGCGCAGGAAGTCACCGCGGCGCTCCTGGGAGCCCGTGAGCACCCGCACGCGGCTGACGAGGGCCGGCTGCCGGAACACCACGGAGAAGATGCTGCCAGCTGCTGGGTCCTTCCCCCAGAAATAGCCCTCTGCCGAGCTGTAGGCCTTGAGGGGCTCGTAGTGCTCGAAGACGGCCATGCTGGTGTACAAGGACGCCGGAGGGTTGTCCGGAACGTCCAAGGCATCAGCCTGGAAATCGTCGTCCTCCAGCCGGTTGACGGTGCCCTGGAAGGAGGAGTAGAGGCCCATGTGCTGGAAGAGGGACGGCTTGAAGCGGATGACATCCTTCTGGGTGAGCAGGTGGCGGAAGTGCACGAGCAGCCAGTCACAGGGCATCTCCTGGTAGAAGAGGAGGAGGAATCGAGCCAGGCGAGGGAGGTCGCTGGAGCGGTAGAGCTTCCCAATGTAGCCCAGCTTGGAGAACTCCAGGGTGGCCCAGTTGGAGCCCTCCTGGGAGGCCAGAGCCTTGCGGATGGCCGTCAGGAAGGAGCGGGCGCACCACACGTCATCCTCGATCATCAGGTAGTAGGAGGAGAGGTTGGCGGCGAAGGCGAGCAGGAAGGCGTAGTCCACGTTCTGCTTGGAGCGGAACCTCACCCGCTCCTCAGGGTCGTTGAAGTTCCTCTTGAGCCCTTCCAGGGTGGGGTAGAGCTCGTGGGGGGCGTGGATGAGCAGCAGCCGGCCCAGGAGGATGTGGCGAGCGAACTTCTGGGCGATGCCGAGGGCGACGCGCGCGTTCCAGCCGGGATCCGCGTCGGCCAGGTGCACCACCACCACCATCTCCCGCAGCTCCTCCTCCGTGGACTGGCTGAACAGGGACTGCAGCGTGGCCGGCAGGTAGAAGCCGCGCGGCCGCCGCACCGACGCCAATCCCACCGCCAGGAATTCTGCACGGCAAAGGAAAGGCGTGACCTGGGATGCACCGTGGGGAGGTTCTTCCCTGCAGGCCACGAGGAGTGGGCTCCAAAAAGCTCTTCCCGTGGCCACCCCACACCGTTAATGCTGTTTATAACCCCATGTCCAAGGTGGAGGGTCCTCTCTGAGCTGGAGCCCCCCCAGTGTCCCAGAAGGGGCCCAAAGGTCAGTGAGAGGTTGGGATGAGGCAGCAGGAGCTCCTCTGAAGGAGAAATACTTGGGAAAAACAACTTTAAAAAGCCAAACCCAGAGAAGTAACAGCACAGAGTCTACAGGGCAGGAATGGCTCATTGGCTTGGCTGCACATCCTGGAAGTGTGCCCTGCCCTGAACCTCGTGGAGATGCCCCACACTGGATGAGACATCAGTCCTGCCCTCCCCACGGCCCAGCAGGGGTTCAGCTTCTCCTGCTGCTGCTCTGTGCAGCACCATCCACGGGCTGGTTCCAGCACAGCCTCGCGTGGGGCTGCCCTGAGCTCCTTCCCCCGGGGTTTGTGTGGGAGCTGTTTTCAGTGCCCCTGCCCAAGAGCCTGGCCCACATCTCCCACCCTGTGTGGGCGTCCCCATGGTCCAGCTCCACCACCTCCACAAGAACCTCAACCCCAGGGAGGTGGGATTCCAGCCACCCTCCCCACAGAGATCTGGGAACCCCGAAACGCCTGCAGTCACCCCAGTGCCAAGGTGTAGAAACGGACCATGCTTGGAGCATGTGGACCTTCCCCTACGCCTGCAGCCCCCAGAGCAGTGTTGGCAGATCCTCAGAGCACCCCTGGGGTGTTGGCAAGTCCCCCACCCCGACAGGGTGGACACGGCCCCTCCCTGCCCCGGCAGCAGCAGCGATGGGTCTATGCTGGGACAGCTGTGCTGGGACAGATGTGCAGACCCAGAGCCCTGCTCGGGCTGGGCTCCCAACCACTCACTTTTTTGGGGTGCCAGGGAACCAGCCAGGACATGGTAGGAGACGTTGTGGAGCGGGGAGAGCTCGTCCGTGTCCCTGAGGATGTGCTGGGCTCCTCCCGGCTGCAGCAGCTGCAGGATCGTGTCGGGGGTCAGGCCCCTCAGATCCACCTGGGTGGGAGCCACAGGGAGCCAGGTCAGAGCCTGGAGCACCACGGCCACACAGGAGCAAGGGGGAATGACAGCTGGGGTCCCAGAAGTGATGGGGAACCTCTGTCCTGCCCTCCCTGGATCCAGGGAGGCCCCACTGCCCAGGGCAACTCCAGGGACAGGAGAAGGCAGAGCTGGGGTTGGGGGTGACACAGTGCAGGGAAGGGAGCAGAGCTGGGGTTGGGGTCCACGTGGGGCAGGAAAAGATGGAGGATGCTCCAGTGGCCACTCCAGAGGGACATCAGTGGTTGGGAACTCACCTCCAGGGGATCCTGTTCCTGCTGGCTGCCCCCATGGAGGAGGAGGAAGAGGAGGAGGAGGAAGGAGGCTGCGAGCACGGCGGTGAGGCAGCGCTTCAGGGAGCATCGCATCGCACCGGGCTGGCGCTGCTGAGGGCTGTGGAGGAAGGGGCATGTCAGGGAATAGCCAAGGAAAACCCCCATCCCCTGGATGGGACTCTAGGGCAGCACCTGGATGAACCCCTGGGACTGAGCCCTCTGGCCAGAGCACCCAGGGGTGAACACCCAGGGCAGCCACGGGGCATCAGGGGCACTTGTGCACGATCCCCTTTGGGCAGGTGGGGCAGGACACCCCAACTCAGCCAGGAAAACAATCAGCCAGGTACAAAATCCGCCCCCAGCCCAGCCCCACAACACCCAGGCTGCCCTCAGACACCCCCCCAGCACCCCCAGAGCTGGAGACGGAAGAAATGCAGGTGCCACGTGCCCTGGGGAGGGCTTTTGGGTCACAGGGACACCCGTGGAGCAGCCACCAACACCTCGGGACTTGGCACCGCACCCTGGGAAACACTCGGGTCCCAAATGAGCCCGGGCTGCTCTCCCAGCACCACGAGGGTGAAGCAGCTCCCCCAGCCCCTCCTGCCCACCCTACTCCCCTCCTGCCTCCAGGCAGGCCCCGTGCCAGCCACAGCCCCTGCTTGGAAGAACAAGGTGTCCCTGAGGGCACAGTGTTACCTTCCAGGAAGTCATGGTGCCCTTGAGATATTTTACCCTGTGGCAGAGGCATGGCAGGAGTCTAAAAGACTCCTGTGTTTGCCTGGCGATTTTCCAATTTAAATATGACTGGGGCTGCACTGGAACAAGAGAAGCTGGAGACCAACCCAGTGCCCATCCTGGCAGGGCAGACACGCTCAGCCCCATCCAAACCGCTCACAGCACCTCAGTTTGTCTTGGTCAAAAGCATCTTTGAGTGCAAACGTGGAGGAAAGACCCTCCTAAACCTTCCCAAACCAAGGCCGGGCTTCCCAGGACTTCTCCTTAAACACCTCCCTGCATCTACTGGGATGCTCCCAGCCCACCCAGAGGCCCCAGGTGGCAACACAGAACCTCTCTGGCACTGCTCCAGCATTTGCTGGGCTTATTTTAAGGAGAATCCTCTCAGTTTTCCTGCCCAGGAGTCCTTTGGGGGATTATCAGCACCTCGCCAGGCTGGTGCCAAGCAGGTGCCCCTGATGCCACGGGCAGCCTGTCCTCGTGCCACTGCCCTCATCTGCCTGGGAACAGGGAGACAAACCCTCGGAGCCAGGGAGCCGCTCCCCCAGGGAGCAGCACAGCCCATCCTGGCCAGGAGAGCAGAGGAGCCTCCTCCCCTGGGCTGGAACCCGGTCGTGGGCGAGCTTTTGGGAGCACTCGGAGGAACAACGAGCTCCTGGAGCTGCTCAAAAATCTCTGTCCAGAGAGCAGGGGAGCAAAGCCTCTCCTTCCCCCCCAGCTCTGGGCCATGGGAAGCTCACCAGTTTATGGGGGAGCAGCCTTAGGGACCCAGCTGAGCTGTGGGGACATCACTCCCTGCAGCCATGCTGGACGTAGATTTCCAAGCCTGGACCCCTGGAATCTGAGCTGGGAAGGGCAAGGCTTGGTGGGCAGCACAGGCTGGGTGCTCAGTTACTCTGGGTGGCCGAAGGTTTTTCTGGCTGCTGGGGAGTGTCTGGCTGCCAACAGCCCATCCTGGATGGAAAACACCTCCAGCTCCCACAGGCAGCAGTTCCCTCCAAGGGAGCCCACGGGGAACAGGGGTCCCAGGCAGATCCAGCAGGGCAGGTTTAACAGAGCAAAAGGATACGAGCGCTGCCCCATAATTAGCCCCCTAATTGGGCTTTGGATTTTTGCCCCCATGGAGACACAAAGCAGCCCGCCTGGATGGGACAGCCAGGACACACCCGCTGGGCTGGGGGGACTCCAGGGAGCATCCCTGTCCCTGCTCCTGTCCTAGCACCTCAGGCACCTTCCCCACAGCTCAGCACCCCACTGGGGACATCCCTAGAAGCCACCCCGCTGTGGGGACACTGACCAGGAGGAGCTGGCTGCTGAGAGCTGCTCGCCTGGAGCCAAACTCCTTCACTCTGCCGGGAGACTCCAGAGCCAAACGGGCCGTGTGCCGGAGCAGCCGTGAGTCGGTCCAGGGAGAGGGGAAGGGACTGAGGGCACACGAGGCTGTGAGGAAGGGCCGGATGATACCGTGGGCAGGCGGCTCCAGCTGCTTCCGCTGGCACTGGGAGAGCAGGGCTGGTTGCACAGGGAGGAGGGAACAGCCAGGGCTCCCTATCCCTCTGCCTTTCCATGGCAGGGGAAACTGAGGCACGGAGAAAGCAGAAAGGATAAAGGCTGCATCACCCAGAAGGATGAACGCCAGGTCTCCTGCGGCACAGGTCAGTGCCCCTCCCCACCGCCCTGGGAGGGTCCCCGGGATGGAGAGGGACAGGGGGGAACCCAGAGCCAGAAGTCGAGTGGCTGGGGGGGACATGGCAAGTTGGGGCAGCACAATGTCCCCGATGGGCAAATCGCCGTTTGGGGCTCCTGGGAGCCAGCCCGGGGTCCAGCCCCACAGGCTGTGGGTGTCTCTGCTCCAAGGGTGGTCCCACGGGGAGGAAGGAGGGGAAATGCCGTGTGTAGGTAGCACAGGACTCCAGGAGCCAAAGCCTTTGGTCAGCACAGGTGTCCCACAGCTCCCCAGCACAGGCGAGGGGTCACCTGGCTCCTCTCTGACAGCACAAGGACCCCGAGCCCACCACTCTGCCCTCACCCCCCGGCAGCCCTTCCTGTGACCCCAGAGCTGGCTCCTGCCCAGGAGCGCTCCGGACGTGCCCCCCGAGCGGCAGAGACTCACGGAGGGGCGGCGGCCGGGCAGGACGGGCGGCGGCCTCGCCGGCTCGGGGGTGCTCGGCCCTGGCAACTTCCCCGGGCTGGCCGGACTCTGGATCCTCGCTCGGCAAAGCCCCACCCCGAGCCCTCGCCTGCCTCCCGCAGAGGAGGAGCGTCGGCCGGAGCCTCTGCTCCGGGAGCCTCGGGAACCGGCCGGGCCGGGGGGGACCCCGGGGGGACCCCAGAAATGGCAGCAGCCTCAGGACGGGCATCCCACCATGGCACCGGCTGTATCCCACCACCCCCATCTCCGCTGGCAGCATCAACCCCCCCCGAGGGCTCTTGCCGAGCCTCAGCATCCCAAACTCCAGCTCCAACCTGCCACTTTGGTGGCACTGAGGGGAAAAAGCACGACCTGCATCGAGCAGGGCCCTGCACACGGAGCTGGCACGGCTCTCTGCCCGTTTGTGTTCCAGCTCTTGGGCTGAGGTGGCAAAAACCTCAGGGGCTGCTGAGCCAGAACTGAACCTCTGGCATCCCGGGGCAGAGCTGGCTGCCTGGATCCCAGCCAGGATGCAGCCCAGGGACACTACGGCTTCCCCACCCAGCCCAGGGACACCACAGCTTTCCTACACACCCAGGAACACCACAGCTTTCCTACACACCCAGGAACACCACAGCTTTCCTACACAGCCCAGGAACACCACAGCTTTCCTACACACCCAGGAACACCACAGCTTTCCTACACAGCCCAGGAACACCACAGCTTTCCTACACACCCAGGAACACCACAGCTTTCCTACACAGCCCAGGAACACCACAGCTTTCCTACACACTCAGGGACACCACAGCTTTCCTACACAGCCAGGGACACCACAGCTTTCCTACACACTCAGGGACACCACAGCTTTCCTACACAGCCAGGGACACCACAGATTTCCTACACAGCCCAGGGACACCACGGCTTCCCCACCCACCCCAGGGACACCACAGCTTCCCCACACAGCCCAGGTCCCCCCGGAGCACTGGGCATCACGGCTGGGCTGGGACTGAACCCCTTGTAACCCCCAAGAGCCAAGGTGTGGGCCCTTCCACGGCCCAGTTTATTCCCAGCTTCTCCACTCTTCAAGCTTTGTTTGTCTCCCACTGTTTCCCTCCTCTGGATCCACAGCAGGAACACGGCTCTGGAGCCCGATGGCATCACTTGTCCCCGGGTCAGAACCAGCCCAGCTCCTTCCAACACAGTCACTCACCCACAGCACCCAAACTCAGAGGAAGACCCTTCCCTCCCCCCAGTCCCACCCTCCCCATTTATTCCCACAGAGACGTGGATCCCACCTCCCTGCTCTCCTTGCTGTCCTGGACCTCTCCTACATCCAGGAAGGCCCCACGTCTCTTCCAAGGCTCCGTCTTCTACAGATCCCCCGTGGCGACTTCCAGTCCCGGATCCTCACACGGGAACGGTGCCTGGGGCTCGTCTGCCAGGACAGAGGTGGCCACAGGGAGATGTTGCAGGGCAGGAAGCGGGTGATGGCACCGGGAAGGAGAGGGAGGAACATCCGCAGGCTCTCGGATCCGCTTCCCCCGGTTTGGTTTTTAAATCCTTACACTCCCATCGTGGGATGCCAGTGGCTCTGTCCCCACGGTGGGGACACCCCCCGTGCCCTGGAGCAAGGGCAGCCTGGAATTCCCACCAGGGCAGGGGCTGGGAGACACCAGGAGGGCCCAGGGAGCCGGTTTGGTGCCCCCAGCAGAGGTTTATGTTCAGTGCCCTGGGGAGGAAGGGCCGTGGGACTCGGTGGCTCCTGGGAGGCGTCACAAGGGCAGCAGCCGCGGGAGGGGGAGGGCTTTTGTCACCACAGGTGTCCCATGACCCCCATCCCTGCAGGAAACAACAGGGCTGGGTCCTTCCTGTCCTTGTGGGAAGGAAGGGGAGGGTGGTGGGGCCAGCACGGCCCTGGGGTCTCGACCCCAGCACAGCCCTGGGGACCCCAAAACAGCCCTGAGTCCCTGACACAGCCCTGGGTCCCCAAAACAGCCCTGAGGTCCCCAATGCTTGTGGGTGCCACAGGCCCCTGCCATAGCAACATGGGGAACACCCAGCTCTGCAGCAGAGCCACTAAACCCCCCTTTGGTCCCCACATGCCACCTCAGGGTGCAGTGCTAGGGCAGGATTTGACCCTCTCCAGGCACACCCATCCTGCCTGGAGCAGCAGAGGAATGCCCAGCCAGGACACAGCCCCCAGTGCCCAGGCAGGGTGCTCCTGGGTCCTCTTGCCCTCCAAAAGGTCCCACAAGCCCAGTCTGAGCCCTGTGCTATGGGACAAACCCCAAACGGTGTTTGGGGTGCTAGAAAAGGGCTCTTCCACCCATCTCTCCTGTGAGGGGCACAGCACAACCCCAGCACCTGGGCACAACAGGGCCCAGCACCCAGAGCCACTCCCAAACCTCCCACTGGCCCAAAACCCAAACGTGCTCTGCTCGCTGAAATATTTGCCCTGGGGGACAGGGAGGGGGCTGAAATGAGGCTAAAAGGCACATTTTTGCTTGTTTTTGGAACAAGCTGGAGAATGAAAGAGAAGCCCCAGGTGCAGAGGCTGTGGCTGTGCAGGCTGTGCACGGCCCAGCTCAGGGGGCCGGGGAGGACCAATCCCCCAGTTCCCCCAGTTGGGGCTGGAGCAGAGCACTGGGGTGGGACAGGCACGAAGGGACCCAGGGCAGGGCCCAGCCACCTCCCCCAGGCACCCAGCCCTCAGCTCACCTGGCTCAGCTCCTGTTGGACACCAGATCCCTGACCAGGAGGGGAGGCCAAGCCTCCGTGTCCCCTGGGGCAGCAGAGAGCCAGGTCAGATCCATTACAGCCCTTCCATTATTCAGGAGCCCAGGCAGGACAAAGGGGAGGGACAACGGGGGAGGGAGAGGACTGGGGCTCCACTCCCCACGGTGCTGATGTGGGGCTCCATTTGCCCCCCACCAGGGTCCCCTCTGAGCCACGTCCTGCAGAAAGGGGTGGCTGTCACACCAAACCACAGCCTCACTGAAACCCACTCCTGGAGAGCACCAGAGTGGAGGGTTTTGGCAAGCAGGCTCTGAGAGAGGCTGGGCCTGGGGGACAGGGGTGGAAAGCCCCTGCTCAGGGCTGAAGTCTGGCCAAGTGGTGCTCACATCACCAAGCAAACCTCAGCACCGGGGTCAGGTTCCACTGCTGTGGGGAAGGCAGGAAGGGGAACAGCCACAGCCTGCAGAAATACACGTAGGCGAGCAGAGCCCAACCTCCCCAGCACCCCTGCCACCTCCCCAGCGCCCCTGCCACCTCCACAGCACCCCTGCCACCTCCACAGCACCCCTGCCACCTCCCCAGCACCCCTGCCACCTCCACAGCACCCCTGCCACCTCCCCAGCACCCCTGCCACCTCCCCAGCACCCCTGTCACCTCCACAGTGCCCCTGCCACCTCCCCAGCGCCCCTGCCACCTCCACAGTGCCCCTGCCACCTCCACAGCACCCCTGTCACCTCCACAGCACCTCTGTCACCTCCACAGCACCCCTGTCACCTCCCCAGCGCCCCTGCCACCTCCACAGTGCCCCTGCCACCTCCACAGTGCCCCTGCCACCTCCCCAGCGCCCCTGCCACCTCCCCAGCGCCCCTGCCACCTCCACAGTGCCCCTGCCACCTCCACAGCCTCCCCACATGGATCAGCAGGGGTCCCTGATCCCTGCCAGCCCCACCAACCAGCACCGCAGTCACCAGAAGGTTCGTACAGGGAAAGAGTGAAAATATTTCTTCCACATTTTATACATTTCAGCCTAGAAAAAGGCTGGTGTGGGAGAGACACCTCTGTCTGTATTTAAACAGCTGTATTTGGATGCAGCAAGCCTGTTAGTAGCAGGAAACATCCCGTCCACCTGCTTCCTGCTGTTCCAGCCCAGGATCAGTCCCAGGATTTACTCTGGGGTGGGTGCTGCTGGGTGCCCTGCCCCAGCACAATGAGCACACCCTGGGCATGCCACACTCCTGGTTAGAACATATCCCTGCTCTCACAGATGGCAGGAACACCCAGCCCCGGGATCTGTTCTGTGTTTCTGCACAGAAGCAAGAAAGAAGCCCAGGCTGCCGTTCCCACCCCCGCTCAGCCAGGGCAGCTCTCCAGGGTGAGGGCAGAGCTTTACACAGTCTGATCTGGGAACCAAACACCTCTGCTCCCACCCTCCAGACCCCTGCACAAGCAGCAATCACCAGGCTTCACCCTGCAAAACCGAGTTTCCAGGGAATGCAGCACAAAACACCTGGAAGCACAGTCCAGAACTCTTGGCTCCCTCCAAGACAACAGGGAACTGTGCAGCCTCCCCACATTTCACTCTCTGACCTCCACTCCCTGAACACTTGTCCCAGAGCTCAGGGGCATTTAACCCCACGGCAAAACAGAGGATTGTTGTCCCCCATTGCCCTGGAGCAGCTTCCTCCTGGCACAGGGATGGAGCCCTGCACAGCTCCAGGGCACTGCCCCGCTGTCCTGCCCCACAGCACAGACCCTGCTCTGCTGCCAGGACGGGTCAGGATCACAGGCACAGCACGGTTCTCTTACCCTGCACCTCTACTCCGACCAATCTAGTTCCCAAACTCACCTGCTGGGCATCCCCAGGTGTTGAGCAGCAGTGAGGAGGGGACTGCGAGGCAGGAGCTGTCCCAAAGTGTGTGTTTGAAGTCAACAGCAAGAGCCTCTAAGGCAGATCCCAGTCTGGGGCAATGTCCTTGGCGGTGATTTACAGAGTGCAGGAACTCCTCCCAGGCGGCTACACCAGGGCCATGGGGGTGACAGAATCACAGAGTACACTGAGTTGGAAGGGACCCACAGCATCGAGTCCAAACTGAGCTGGCACAACTCCCTCTCCTTCCAGGTGCTTCACTAAACATCACATATGGAAAAGTGCTGTTACTCCTGCTTGGGACAAGGTCTGAAGTGCACCAGGACTGAGGAGCTGATCATGGACAGGCAGCAGAACTCAGTGCCCTGCTCCTCACCCTACTTCAGTCACTCCTCATCTGCCCCTGCACTGCAGCCCCTCCTCTGCCTGCACCACTCCTGCACCAGGAGCCACATCCGTCCTGGATCCATCCCATCCTCCTGACAGGCCCCTCTCCCTTCTCAGTCAGCCCAGAGCCACAGAAAGTTTCAGGGTCGCTTCTTCCTCACAGAAATTACTCAGTTTAGCCAAAAGCCAGAGCAGTGACTGCTTGTGGGCTTTCAACAGCAAACATTTTCACATTGCTCTCAGAAACCACACTAGGTTGAGTCCTTCATCACTGCTTTTGTTATTTTAGTTTATCCCCTCCAGCTCCTCTCCCTCCCTGTTTATCTTCTCTGAAAAGCACCTTCTGGCTTTAAAAGTTTAGTTCTTCTTTTCAAAGACAAAACACCAGCGTGAGAACTTGGAGTACCTTTACATTCAAGAGAGACTTTTGCCTTACGACTCCTCTTTGAAATAATTCCTTTGTTTGATCATTTATGCCTTTTTCTTTCCTGAAACTTGGATCTGTTGGGCTGGGAGGTAAGGTTATAGTTGATCACTTCTGCTTTGCTCTCTGCTTCTCAGACACTGAAATATCGCACTGTGGGTGAGCACCATCTCGCTGCAGCAAAACAAAGGTGGATTTTGTTTGTAAATTGTCTCTGGAAAGCAAATCGGAAAGTTCTTGGAAAGCAAAACCTCCTGCTTCTTCCTGAACAACAGAACACAGGACCACTTTGATTAGCACCAAAAGGATTTTAAATGAATAGTTCCAGGGAGCTCCTTTCAAATCATAAAATGTCAATTTTACATAAAAGTGTGTTTACAAATAGTTTCTGCTTTACACTCAGCTCTGCCCATTACTGACCAGAAGTTATATACACACAAACTAGCTCAGCAGCTTCAACCACTTGCAAGGGAGGACTGCAGAATTTATTTAAGAAATAAAAATAGGATTTTCCTGGTTCCTAGAAATTCTCTTCGGCCTGCCAGATCCAGTCACCTGCCAGCTCCTGCAGCCTCGGGAGAGCACTAAGCTTTCGGGGAGAAGGGGTACTGTGGGTGCCACCAATCCAGGAGCCTGATGCTGTGCACGGGGTCCAGCACCACCTGCACCCCCTGCTCCAGGCGGGGCTTCTTCCCGTTGCGGACGGGGGTGTCCTGGAACACGAGGCGCACGCGGTGGTGCCGCATGTCGGTGCTCACGTTGATGGTGAACTGCAAGAGAGGAGAGACCAGAGGGGCTTCAGCAAAACCAACACGAGTTCTGAGCACAGCACTTCTAGGTTTTTGTGACTTCTCCTGGCCCGTGCAAGTCTGAAGTGTTTCAGAGTTTGTCGCAGTCACAGGGACCGGTTTATTGCCCTGTGGATAACCAAACCTGTGTGTGCTACACCCTCAGTGTCATTGCTGAGGGACTGCTAATAAAGGGATAACCAAACCTGTGTGTGCTACACCCTCAGTGTCATTGCTGAGGGACTGCTAATAAAGGGATAACCAAACCTGTGTGTGCTACACCCTCAGTGTCATTGCTGAGGGACTGCTAATAAAGGGATAACCAAACCTGTGTGTGCTACACCCTCAGTGTCATTGCTGAGGGACTGCTAATAAAGGGATAACCAAACCTGTGTGTGCTACACCCTCAGTGTCATTGCTGAGGGACTGGTAACAAAGGGATTGTTTGCAGCAGCTGCCCAGGGCACACCTGACACCTCAGGCTCTCAGAACCCTGCAGGCAGGGCAGTGTTTCTTTGTCCTCACACCAATGGCTCAGCCCTGGAACTCCCCTCCAGGGAGGCATCAGCACCTTCACCCCCAGCCCGAGGGGTCATCTCTGCTCATGACCCACCTTGGACTGGCACAAGGGGCAGCTGCAGCCACCCAGAGCATCAAAGGTTCCAAAAACATCCCAGGGCTCACAGAGTTCAATCCCCCCTCGGGACAGTCCCTGCCCTGGGGGAGGCACTGGGCATCCCCACCTCAACCTGAGCACAGACACTCTGCAGGTCTGGGCACTGTTGGGACCACTGGTGGATCCAGAGGAGGACCAGAACTCCAACAGAACTGTGCCCACCATCCTGACCAACAGCTCTCCTTTCCTTTTCCTTTGCCCCCGGGGGGGCCACGTGGAGCTCAGCACAGGGGCCCATGAACACTGCTCTGTTCTTGCCCCAGAGTGCTGGGTTATACATCTGTCTTTGGGGGTTAAAACCAGTTTTCTCCATATCATTGCACTTATTGCAATCATTTTAGTGAATTGTAACTCTGACTTGGGATCTCTCTCAAGTTGGGTTTGTTTCTCCCACTGGTTTCCTTCTAAACCAGCACAGAGTCACAGTGAGTTTACAGCACTGCCTGGCCACCCAAACAATAATGCTTTGAGTTGTAAGGGTTGTAAAAGGGTTATAAAACATTGGGACAGGCTGCCCAGGGCAGGGGTGGAGTCGCCATCCCTGGAAGGGATGTGGATGTGGCACCTGGGGACGTGATTAGGGGTGAACGTGGCAGTGGGCAATGGTTGGACTCGATGCACTGGAAGGTCTTTTCCAATCCAAACAATTTTATGACTCCGTGATTTTAAGAGAGCCTGGAAGCAAGTGGCTGTCAGGGGAAGTCTGGAACTCGCTGCCCTACTCCCAAGTGAAGCCAGACTGAACCTCTCCTGGGCACAGGCCATTTCTGAAGCCCTGACTCACCAGCACAGCCCCTTGTGCTGCCCCTTGTTCACCACAGAGCTGCCCCAACACTCCTGCTCTGCTGCTCTCTGGAGCCCAGCTTTGGGGGTTTGTTCCAAAGCTGCCCTTCCTCCCATCAAGGACCAAACACAGATTCAAAGAGTTTGCTCAGATGGGATTTTCCTCTCAGAATTTATTGCCAATAAGGAGATATTTTCTTGAGGAGGGCAGACCTGCACTTCTCCTGCTCCCTCCCTCTCGTACCTGCTGCAGTTCTGGTAACTAATCACCCCCAAACACTGCACCACAACCACAACTCCTGCAGATTCTCTACATCCTCTGGATTTACTGCACCAAATAGGGAAGAGCTGACGGAAATGGAGAAGTTAAACTGAGACCCTCAGCATTTCCTGTTCATAAGATTCCTAAAACTGGTTTGCTGACAAAGCAGTGGGATTTGCACAGCCCTAGGGAGGCACTGGGTGGGATTCCTGGGGTTGTCCCGTGCAAGGCCAGGAGCTGGGACTCGAAGCTCCTTGTTGGTCCCTTCCAACCCAGGAGGTTCCATGATTTTAGGTGCCCTCCTTCCAGAAACCTCGCCTGCAAAGCCTGCCTGGCAGCTTCTCCCCCACTCACCAAGGTAAACGTCATGCCCATGACGATTGGCACGAAGATGAAGTTGAAGGTGGTGATCTGCAGCAGGCAGCAATCCTGATCCGGGTTCGTGTGCACCTCCTCGTACTGGATGGGGGGCTGGAGACCTTTGCAACACTTGCTCTTCAATCTGGGGGACTTGGAAAGAAAGAGGCCCTGATTGAGCTGAGCAGGTTCTCACCACCTCCCCGTGTGTTTTGGGCACTGTTCCCAAAACAACCAGAAGCCTTCACTCGGGACAGGCAGGACCATTCCTTTAGAGGGGAAAGCTGCAGAATTCCCAAGGCTGCCTGAGACTACTGGCTTCTCCCAAGACCCATTCCTGGAGGTCTTCCCTTGCTTTATTTCTCTGAGAAATCTTTGCAATGGTAAAACAAGAAGTTTCAGGTTTTTGGTCAACATTTTGATCGCTACAGTCAAACAACTGGGTTTGAGTAGCAATCAGACCCAAAGGTGAGATTATTTGGGGTAACAAATGATCCCCGTCAGAAGGGATACCAAAAGAGGAAATAAAAATCTGGGATTCTAAATGTCTTGGTATCACACACAGAAGACTGAGTGTAGTTTCAGACTGTGCTTTAGTTTACCAGGGGAATCAGAGTTCCCATTTATTGTCTGAAGGCATAAAAAGTGTCCACCTTCCCTTTTACCACCCAGAAAAATAATTTCTGCTTCAAACAAAAGTCACTGCCAATCTTTCATACCTGCTTTTTGAACTTGAAGTTGAATTCCCACATTGCTTCTTGTCTGTTCCCTACAATCTTTTTGCACCAGAAAAGCAGACACTGAGGTGGAAAAAAAGAAACACACAAAATTATGAAACCCTTAGAGGCACCACTTTAAATAAGTTTTAGCAGAGCATAAAGGCTTCCAATTACAAACACAATTATATAAGAGCAATTAGGAGCCACTTATTCAAATTAATTATGTTCAAAGAACCCTCTCAGCAGTTTAGGTCTCCCAGTTTCAAGTTGGCCAACTCCTCATGCAACTGGAGAACACAGCACGTAGCCAACTGATGTGCCAAACAGAAAAATCCAGTTGTGCCATTTATCCTTTCCCTAAGGCAGAGGATGAGTGGTGCAGATTCATCCATTCCCTCCACCCACCAGGAACTCCCATCAAACTGGGCTCCAAACGAGATCAAAGCCAGGAACAACTGAAACCAGAGCAAGGATCAAGAAGGAAAGGATTCAAAGGGAAATGCAAAGCTCAGCACATGAGCTGTGAGGTGATGGATGAGAAAGTTCCTGAGCCACTGTGGTGTCAAACCTTGACATCACCAGGCACTGCCTGTCACTGCTCAGAGCACAGAAGCACTGCCAGGACAGCCCAGCCTGACCAACCTCCTGTCCCGCTGGAAAAGCAAAGGAGAAAACAGCCTCCAACAGCCTTAGAGGTCACCAGCACTGCCCTCCCACCCCCACACACACCAGAGTCCTCCACTGCCACCTGGTTATCCCTGGGTGGGACACAGGCTCCATCCCAGCACTCAGCACTTGGGGGCTCAGCAGAACTCCTGCATGGACCTGGGAGGGAGGGACATTCCCTGCCCAGCAGTCAGTAGGAGCAACCAGCATTCAACAGCCAAGGGAAGAACCTGGCAAGTGAGTCCAGCCATCCCTAAAAGTGTTTCCACAGGACAGATGCCAGGCCAGCACAGCTGGGCTGATCTTTCACCAGTGTCAGCAGAAAAGGAGGAACAATGTGGGTGAAGAGAACTCCCTGTGATCCACACACAGTCTCTCCTGAAGAGAGAAGGCCTGACTGGGCTGCAGGGCACAGCACACATTTGATTTCACTCCAGGACAGAGTGACCCCAATGAAACAAAGCCAGAGCCAGCCCCCACCACAGGGGCTCAAAAATTAAAACTACAGCTGATACAAGATCCTCTCCTTCAACTCTGAGTCATGTCCATAAACAAGAGTCCTTAAAGGACCCTCATCTCCACAGCCTTCAGGAGGTGAACAACAAAGCCACGTGGAGTCAAGCTCAGAAACACACAGGGAGGGAGCAGCCCCCTCGGGGGTTTTTCCCAGTAAAAACCTTCTCCGGATCTTTTGGAACTGGGGTGGGCAGTGGATGATGCTGAGTTTGACTCCACCACCAGTGGCACTTTGGGGTTCACCTGCAGAGACAGCCTGGTCTAGAGCAGCTCGTTTGGTCATGGCAAGTAGTGAAGCACAAAACATCAGTACCTCCTAAGGGGCAGAGGATGTCCTCGGGTCAGCCGTCCTGCCCTTCAGACGCGCCGTGCTCCGCCAAAAATTAGGGGGTGTCTTTAAAGGGCAAACACCTCTGCTGACACCATAACGGCTCCAGTGTCCCACACAAGCTAGGCTAGGGAAAGAAAAAAGGAAATTAAAGAGGAAAGGCTGGATTGGATTGGATAACACCCGGCTCTGGGCTCTCCTCTTGCCACATGCACTTTCGGGAGGCGGCGCCGTTAGTTTAAGGACCTGTCAAAGGTACAACCAAAGCCCAGGAAAGCCAGAGCGTGGGGAGGCAGTGCCAGAGTCTCCTCCAAACCCCCTGTGCCGAGGAGTTTCTGTGCACAGTCACACAGGTGGAGCTCAGAGTCCTGCAATGCAGTGGTACAGCCAGACCAGACTCAGGGCAGCTCTTTCATGCTCCAAGGGGGGAGGTCGAGCCTCTGCTGCTCTGACAAAGCCTCGGCACCACTTAATTTCCTTTTTTTAAAAGCTGAACAGTAAAAGACTGCACTTCACAGAGCTTCCTCAAACCATTAGTGCAGGAGAAGCACTAGCAGTGGGCACCAAAGCCGTTATGATGTCAAGGTGAATCCTTCCAAAATGCCCTGCCAGCATCACCCCGGGGTTTCCAGCTCTCATAGCCACTGCAGACCCGAGCGGTGGGAGGAAGGTGTTCTCAGGACTACAATGAAGTTGGAATTCCCTCGAAATGTTTTGCTTTTTTAATCTTTAAGAAATGATGGTCCCCAAAGTGGGGACTGAGGATGAGAAGGAAGAGCTCTGATGCAGAGCTAAGACTGCACACAGATCCGTGTGTGTGCTTTTCCCTAGGCTGCAGCACCACCTACCTGTGTGCTGCTGGATGCTCCCTAAGCCTGGGACAGCCTTTCCAGTCCCCACCAGGGAGAGGAAGGAAGGAAGAAAGGGAGGATGTCACACAGGGACAGACGAGGTTGCTCTATTTTGAACGGAAAAGAAAGTACAACTCCTGAATCAAACCCAACTTCGGTTTGGCACCAAAAACCTCGTTCAACAGGTTTTTGACCTTGCTTTTGGAGGGTGGAGAATTCACATTGTTGTTTAAGCTGTTCACAGAGTATCAGCCAGTTGCAAGTTAAAACCAAACAAGAGACACAGAGGCATTTCAGAGTTAATGGTCAACAGCAGTTAAACAGAAATGGTGTGAGTGCTCCAAGCTGGGACAGCACAGGGAATCGCCTGCCCACAGCAGAGACAAACCTATTTCCAGCCCAACAACACAAGTGCAGCCCGAGGCCCAAAGCAGACACTGGCTCTGCACATTTGCCATGCTCACCATCCCAGCACCACCCTCCCTCACCCAGACCCCCGACCATGGGTGACCTACAGGAAGGCAGCATGACATGACTCCTGGCTACCAGTGTCACTCCTGAGCTCTCCTGATGCCTGTTACAGAGGAAAGATGCACTCTGGCAGACAAGGGTCAGAATAAAGCACAAAGCATAAAGGCTGATCCTATGGAGCCTCCTTCCAGAGGAGGGGAGAGCTCCAAACATCCCTGGCAGTTCTGACATCCAGTGGAGCAAGTGCCCTTTTGCTGGTTACAAAGGTGTGTGGGGAGGACTCGGGCAGAAGTTACTCCAAAGAGTAACACTACAGATACAAGTAACCAGCATCCTTCTACAAACCCCTCCTCCGTGTCAGGGATCATCCTACACCCAAGTCAGGGATCATCCTACACCCAAGCTTTGCTGGTGACTGTCTAAACACCATCTAGAAAGAAAAAAACCAAACCAAACAGGAACAGCAACACCTCAGACTTCCTCAGCGATCTCACTTACTCTGGAATTTTTTAAAGTGCTGGGAGTACTGTCTGGAATCGCGGGGTTCCTGGAGACGCGGGAGGCGAAGGGCTCGTACATGTGGTACAGCGAGCGGATGACGCAGGCCCGCAGGCAGTGCAGCTTCTCCATGGACTCGGGGCGCAGGCGCAGTGGCAGGTACGCGTCCAGACTGTAGTGCCTGAGGGGACGGGGACACACCCGGCCTCAGCTGCAGGGTCACAGCACCAGAGCTGTGCAGGGACAGCCACACCAGGAGAACACCGAACATCGGACCGAGCACAGCACCTCTGGTCAGAACCTGAGGGATGTGAGGGGGCCTGTGCTGCTCTCCATGGGATCAGGGGCAGCCGCAGAGGCCTGACCTGCACCACGAAGGTTTCCAGCACATGGATCTCAGCTTGAATATCGGGGCAGTTTTGGACAATATAAGGAAGATATTCAGCTCTTTGAGAGTGTCCAAAGGAGGCAATGAAGGTGGAGAAGGGCCTTGATTTGAAGCCGTGTGAGGACACTGAGGGCACTTGGTGTGTTCAGCTGGAGCAGAGGAGACTGAGGGGAGACCTCA